ATCTGCGAAGTGGATTGGCTATTCACCCCGGGGGACTGCATGACCACAGACCTTCAGTAAGTTTGCGTTTGAGAAAAGTGCGTCCGTAAGCTTTCGGTGTGACTACCCACAAAGCGGAAAATTTACGCAGGGGAGATCTTGGATAGCCTACGAGGTTGGTCTCTAGGGGGCAAAAAACAGAAAGAACGAGCTGAGAACTTTGCGCAGTGGAGTGAAAACAGAAAGAGACTGGGAAAGTGTGTGATAGACAAAAAAAACAACTTCGCAAACAGAGGTAAAAATAAAACAACGGCAGAACGAGTGTGTACAGCGCACGCAGCAGAACTTAGACGAAACTACTTGGTTATTCGCAATCAACTGGTCGAAGACAGCCGGCGATTTATTAGATTCATTGCTCAGAAATAGAAGAAAAATCACACGCAGTCCACGAAGTCCTTGAGCAAATAAGTCAGACAAGAATGCGCAGGCCACCCGGCAAAATACAAGCAAAGGCTGACTGGTCTTCCTTGATAACTGCCCAACACCTAAAAGCAGCGTATCGAGCAGGGACATACGGCATCTGGCCTATCTCATGAAGAGGGAACCGAGGTTTCGAAATGTGTTTCCCATTACATGGGTGGACTTAGAATGTTATCGTGAAGCATGACCTCAAGATCTTGCAGTTACGGTGGGGTGTCGGTTTCTGGGCGAGATTCTTTCTGGACGCCTGTAAAAACCACTCGTCAAAAGAAGTGATTACTTGGACAATTGGCATTGACTTTCGATGCGGCCAAAAAATCAAATATATTTTACATTGAACTGCACAATGATAACGTTTTTGTACCCATTTAATACCAAATTACGTCTTCTTCAAAGTCTATACTTGAACAACGCGTATTCCTGGGTTTTGAAGACTTTTACAACTCACGAATAATTTTAACCCCACCTGCAGTTGCTTAAGATCTCCAAATTGCTTGCTCTAAGCCTCCCGTGTAGGGAAAATAATACATCCTTCTGCGGTTGTTAAGAAGTCCTCATCTAATTTTGCAATGTGGACTATGTTGTGTGTTTCATAAACAGCGTTAATAGACTGACAGATTCGATACTGTATGAATGGGCATTTCACGGTCCTAAAAATCCCATAATCAAAAACTTTTTAATTTAAGAAATACCCTTGCTACAAGTATAAATTTGAATAAGGCGTAGTTTGCCACGAAAGGAGTATAAGAAACAACATGATGCGCGTGTTTTCTGTGAAATATATTTGAAGATATGAGGGCGTTGAAAATGCATGAGAAAAATACATCGTGCTTAGTCAGTTTTTGCCAAATGCGGTTTTTACAGGCGGCGGAAAAAGAGTGCATTCAGAAATCGACATCTTGGAGTGACTGAAATATCTTGAGGTTGTGTTGCACGACTATCAGTATTACAGCCCTTCAATCCCACCAAATTTAGTAATTACTTCTAATCAAAAAGCGCATTTCGAAATTTCGGTCAGATACTTCATAGGCCGCCAGATATTGCATATTCATTCAAAAATGTGGCGTCAGTTCTTTCCTACTGAAATGCGCAGTGGCAATCAACTGGCGGCCAGATTGACCCTGAAATTGAAATCTAGCCACCGCCTGAGAGACGTTGGGGGAGCTGCCGGTGAGCCGAAATCCTCACAGTTGCCCAAGGCAGTCGCGGAAAATCGGTCACAAATCAGCCCGCTCCTGATGTAGGCATGTTTCTCGTTAGTACCTGCGTTGAGAATGTGATCCAATAAAATTGTCTACGAAATACACGCAAATGTCAGTTAGGCGGGCGGTAAGAGCCGGCTTAGTCACTTAAACTAGTTCATAGCAATTCAAATCATCACACAAAATATGGGACCGAACTCAGCAAGTTAGGTTTGGACGACTTACTCCAACACCTAAAATATTTTGAAAAAATGCTCAGTGTTATTTACGTACTGAACTGGGATGGCCATGTATGGCTTCGTAGCCATCGTTGGACATAATGAAGCTCAATGGCCAGAGAACGTGGGTTCGGGGTTCAGATGCGGCAAGAATCTGAACTTGCGTATTACTGGCTGACTACGGATAATAAGCCAGAAACAGCCATCCCAGACTCCCTTGTTGTCGTCGGTGCTCTATTCGGCGTACAGAAGGTGGGCTAACTCATGAAATGCCAACCGCAATTACGAAATGCGTTCTCGTTTCGAAAAGTTTAATCAAGTAGGGTCGTAAAATTAATCATCATGCAGCATGATTCTATAATAATCCAGTCACCTCAGGATGCCGGCTTTCGAACGAAATTCCTTCCGGCTGCATTAAAAAACTAGACACTGTAAAAAAATTACTAATTATGTAGCACGCATTTTTCCCATTGATTTTCGATGCCCTTAAAAATTCAATTATATTTCGTGGAAAAAATACGGGAAAATATTAATTATTTTGCTCATTCGGTAGAAAATTACTTCTCCTTCCAATTTTATGCTCAAAGGAAGGGTATAATTTGGTTTTCGAAAAGTTTATAATGGTGAGATTTTTTAATACCGTTAAATGGCCGTTCATTGAACGAAATGTCTCTGCAATCGCCAAAGTGGCTTGTAAAGTTAACAATGTGGCTCAGGCCCACTGTTAAATTTTATGAACTCCATATAGTCTTCTCTTAATACCGTTGAGAAATGTATGGTTTTCCGTACGCGGAAAATATACGGCTTGTAGGTTGGAAACCCTGAACGCAAGTGTAACGGCAGTTCGGGCTCAAAGTTATTTGGGAACTGAAAAAGCTTTCGAAAACCAAATTATACCCTTCCTTTGAGCATAAAATTGGAAGAAAACGTCATTTTCTATCAAATGAACAAGAAAATGAATTTTTATTCATGTTTTCCATGAAATATAATTGACTTTTTATGGGCATCGAGAATCAAGGAGAAAAATGCATGCTACTTAAGTAGTCATTTTTAAAGTCTAGTTTTTGTATGCAGCCGGATAGGAGTTCGTTCGAAAGCCGGCATCCTGAGGTAACTGGATTATTATAGAATCATGCTACAGGATGATTAGTTTTACAACCCTACTTAATTAATCTTTTCGAAACGAAAACGCATTTCGGAATTTCGGTTGACATTTCATGAGTTAGCCCACCTACTGTATATTCCTGACTGCTGTGCAACTGTCTGCGAGGCCCCCCCGCATTGTGTCAGAAGACAGCGCAAGGAGCATGTCGCGTAATCCGATCGGTGAAGGCCCGCGGCTCAGTAGTTGGAGTGCTGAACTTCTAACAGAAATAGCACTGGCTTTGGGAGGGAAGTGAATGGAGGCTCAGTCTACATGTAATCAGACTGAAGAAGATGGCCATTTATGCTTCAAAATTTACTTTCTCGTGACACCACGATTTGATTCTAAACATTGAAGCCGAAAACGTGGATCGTTCTTACGTGGTGTCAGACAGGGAAACTTATGTTATTTTTGGTCAATAAGTGGTGACAGCTTATCTAATACTAACCCTGAAAGGATTCTATATTATAAAAAACTTATTTGCAGGAAGTTGTACTGTCTGCCAATAAGACTGAATGATGATAGATGCCCCCATGCTATAACTGCTTATTGCCGAAGCGACAGAAAGCGGAATTGACGCACAAGGTCGCGGTATGACAAAACCCAAGCACCCGCATCATGCGCGGTGGCGTTGTCCCAGACGCCAAACAAGCCAAATATGCAGTTATTCACGGCGAACCCTATGAGATGACTTGAAAAGTTATTGAGGGCACGGTTGGCGATGTACAGAAACTAAAGGAGGAGCTTAAGGGTGTGAAGACAGTCTTCCGAGAACAAGAATTAGGAAGTCTCCAAGCGCGTATCTAATCTGCTTTAGAAGACATAAAAATGACCTCTGTCATCATCGAGGACGGTACCACCGAGAGGTCTTGAAGATTTGCTCGTGGCTTCAGTTGCTTTAATGCAGAAGTCCGCTGGAGATCAGACACACACACACTGGGAATAGTGGTCAACCCTAACATCACGTCGAATGACTTAATCTTACTCTACGCCTTTCGCAAGGCTAAACTCTGAGGTTATCTATGTTGGGGGAACGCAGTCTGTTTGGCTTTTCATTGCAGTCGCGGTCGACACCTTCCAGTCAGAAATTGAACTATGCCGTCAGTCTGGCATGACAACAAATGTCGTGCAGAAGGCCTGTTACCGCGTCGACGGCTGCCGCCCCATTTAAGTCTAATTTTCATTAGGCGTAGAGGAAGAGAGAAAAAACTACGAGCCCAGCAGTAAGGACATGAGCTGTAGGTAAAAAAGTAACTAGATTCTCGTCTAGAAGTTCAGAGAAGATGACTGTTCGGGCGGCTTTAGATGCCGGATTGGGGTTGCACGCTGACCAGAGGCAACGGTAGTGGGACCAAATGACACACTGGCACGGCAAAAAAACGTCTGGCGTCGTTTATCGGATCTGGTGCGCTTGCGGGCAGAGCAACCAAATCAGAGAGACTGGAAGACTGTCGTGGACACCGATAGCCGAACACGCAGCAGCAGCAGGGCGGAGAAGTGACGCTAGCTCGCACGTCGCAGCTCATTCGAGGGTACCCGGCCACACTTCCAAGTTCGATAAGGTCAAAATTCCGGCGAGGAGTGACAACCGGGTAGGCCATGATCTCCTGGTGTCATGGTTCGCTGGCCCTCAGTGCAGCGACCTTCCGTCTCCATACTCAGTCCTGAGACTAAATCGGGGCAGCAGAGTTAGCCATGCGAGGAGTGCGAAGACTAACACTGTTTCCGGCGCCAGAGTCGGTGAGTCGAAAGGCCGAATAATTATTACGCCAACACCCAACACGGGGGATGGATTCCCGGCGATTAACGACTCAAATACTGGCCATCACACCATTATCGGGCCAAGGGCAACAATCTGCGATGAAGGGGAGATCCGTAAACTTTGCTAGGTACGCAGTTGCACAACGACTACGCCCAGCAACCCCTGGTGAATGAATTATCCTATCCGACGCTGACTCTGGTGATAGGTACGAGAGCATGAGTCCGAAACGTCAAGGGAATAAAGTTCTTGTTCTAGCGGTCGTTTCTGCTCCTTCTAAGCCTTGCAATGATTGGTTAGAAGAAGAAGAAGAGGAAGAAGAAGAAGAAGAAGAAGAAGAGGAAGAAGAAGAAGAAGACGAGGAAGAAGAAGAAGAAGCAGAAGCAGAAGAAGAAGAAGAAGAAGAAGAAGAAGAAGAAGAAGAAGAAGAAAGGAAGAAGAAGAGGAAGAAGAAGAAGAAGAAGAAGAAGAAGAAAAGAATAGGCGTCTGACATCCCCCGTCATGCGCAAGACGTCGAGTTGTCTGAGAGTTTTCAGCAGTCGCCGTGAACGAGATTTCGTAGTCCGTCCCGGTGGGCAACTCCCACGGGAGCTATCAGCAGAGGAGAGCAGTTGGTGTTTGGGCAGTCAGGTGAAAAAGAAACTGCTTAGGGGACAGGGGGCGGCAGAGGTCACCAGAAGAGCAGGCGTACGTCGATTCGCTTGGCTTCTCGCAGCTTTAACATCCTCTGGCAGGCCTCAAGGACAGGTGACCGCAGGGCAGGCTGACCGAGACGACGACTATTTCCGACTCAGTGATCTATTCGCTCAACAACTCCAGGACGCAGACATCACCAGGATTTGACCGGTCTGTCAGTGGCACCACTGAACCGAACTCTTCCCATCTCTAGCTCGTCTCGGTCGAGTATTTATTCACGCAGACACAGAGATTTGCCTGACCGGCTCAGTCTCTCCTGCCTCTCCCCTCTGTCGCCTAAAATGCGCCCGATAGTCCTCATTTTTAGACGCGAAAAGGTGGGAAAAAGCCTGGGTGGATGGAACGATCTTGACTCCACGAGTTCACCAGCGCACACGAAATGCCGGAAGCAAACAGAAAAGTGGGGAGAGAAAGCAACCTTATGTACACACACTTTATTGACTGTTTTGGACTAAATAAGGGTCGAACGTGGATCACGTAGGGGGGAGGAGGTCAGCCTTTGAAGGTCTATTTACAAATTTCGTCGAAGGGTGGGGGGTTCAATAGTCCACGATAAAAGATCGCAGCCGCCTGAGATACTGTCGGTCGGAGATGAAGGAGCCGAATTCATCGCGTGAAAGCCACGCGAAATCGGACTTCTCCGGCAAACAGACTGTTTCTCCGCGCCACAGTTTGTCTACGTAGGCATTGAGGAAATACATCTGGAAGAAAAGGAGACAGAAATAACCCAAAGCCACCACCAAAACTTCTTGAAAAATAATATTTGTGGGGAGAGGAGGGGAGGAGAAGTGGAAACAGGAAAGAGTAAACGGGACACCAGCGTTACTGAGGAGTGTTGACACGAAGTTGTGATCACACAGCAAGCGAATAAATTCGCTAAAGAGAGCTGGTGGAAATGGAAGTCGCGAGGAGCACATCCACTTCCCAGTACCCTTACCACTTAGATTAGGAAGGAAAACTTTCAACTTGTTGAGGAAATTTCCGGCCGGAGTCCCAAGGGCGACTGGGTGTGTAAGACACGTTACAAGAAGCAGAGAACAGAAAAAGGGTGAGTAAAACTACTTACAGCCTCGCAATGGGATGCAGGGGAGATCATCTATATCTCCAAAATCTCTGTTTCCCGATATAAATTTGAACGATCACCAAGCAGTCAAGAGAGACGGCAATAAATCCCCTTCATTTTCGCGATCTATAAGTTATGGACGACATGTGAGTACGCAGGCGCCGAAATCCGGATAATCAGTTAGGGGGATCTCGAACGTCACGCATCCTCAGTATTAGTCTTACGAGTTCCGAGTGTCTTTTTCTCATGCATAATGTGTTTTTAAGATATCTTATTAACCAAAAGGTTCATGATTTCGAGCGAAAATCAACGCTGCCTGATAATCAGATGATTTTTTTTAATTAATCGTTATTCTAGGCCATATTTGAACATTTGTACGTGTTTCACTGGGTGCGGGCATTAAACTAAAAGAGGCTTACCAAAACAACCGTCACCAACCTAAAACTTCATTCTTCAGCCCATACGAACCAGATGGGACAGGATGTAAATCGCCATATCATTTTTTTAAACAAGCCTTTTTCTCCTATAAAGTGCGATCTGCAAATCTGTGCAATTTTATGCCTTAAGATGCTGTGACAACGTCCACGAACGCTGTTTTGCTTTGGCAGGCCTATAATTTCCAGAAGTTAGAGCGAAGACCCTCCGTAAAGCGGACGTTTCTACTTTTGAACACGTGGTAGAATGATGTCTGTGAGATTTAACTTATGCTAATAGAAACGGAAAATGCATACTGCGAATTGTTTGGGCAACCTCTAAGTATTTGTATGACCACTGCATTGCATTCATAAGTTCAGAACGGAAGCTAACAGGAGGCATTGCTTACGAAGAATAATTATCAGCATTTGCCAGGTAAGTATATAAACGGGCAAAGTGTTCCAATATTCTCCCGAATTCGTTTCGGGAAAAGTTGGAGAAGCACCCCCAGAAAGCATTTTTCGAGAAATAACTTAATAGGGAAAATTTTCATCGTAGCAAAGGTCTACTTAATGCAGAACTTCGCTGCAGACGTCAATTTTCTTCGGTGATTAGGTTTCATGTTTAGGTGAGTCAAAAAAATGGCCCATACTGTAATTACGTTAAAGAGAACATCTGGAAAATCACTACTTATGTAACAGTCATCAGAAAATGTCTTATTTTGGAAATTTTTATAAACAGAAGGTACAAAGAATATAATCTTGTGTAACTGTTTTGTAGACGGGCGGAGTACATCACGAGAGAAATTTCACATAATAAAATAGCTTTACTGTTAAATTGACAGTAGACATGGAAATCGCGATTGTTAGTTATCTATGAAAAGCTAGAGTGCTCATCAAAGAGGGATGATTACCGTTACACATAAAACAAGCGTGAAATCTGGGAATAAAACGTCAGGGTGATTATTCAAATCGTAATCTTATTAGATCAAAAACGGAAATGGGCACATTTTCAGCCGAAAATACCTGGACTCCTTGTTTTTTGCCATCGGCGGTACGATAGTGATATTTATGGACTGCCACTGGAGTGTTGCCAAAAATCTTGCACTTAGCTTCTGGCGGCAAAATCTGTGAGGCCAGAAGATCGGCAGCCTAAAAAATACAAAGAAGAAATAATAGCAAGCGCCGCACTCACAGCTAAGGGTCTTTGATAGTTTCCACTCATGAATGACACGGTATCAAAGACGTCATCGTAATTAGGCAGAATAGCAGTAAATTGTAATTAGCTAAAAAGCGCGCTCTTCCCGTACCGGTGGGCGCCAATTGAAAAAAAAACTAGAGAACGTATGTTAGCAACATATGAATACTGGCAGGGAGCCGCATATGAGCCTCATAAACTCTAAAGACACACAGCAGGGGTGTTTCCCAACACAGTTTTCATTGAAAAAGAGAAGGTTCTTCGGAAAATCGAATTGTACACGTGAATTTTCAAGTCGGTGACACCGACCCGTAGTCAGACGAAATGAACGGCGGAGAAAGTGGGATCGGCAGACTAGGTCAGCTTGCGCGACAGGACAGACAACAAACAGGCAGCTAATGCGTGAGAGCGGTGGGCACCGAGTTATGGTAAGCTTTGGGGCGGGGTGAGGGAAGGGGGAACCGTAGGGATGGCTGTATTGGAGATAAATGAGCGGGGAATCGCGGATGAGTCGGAATGCGGGCGACTGGTCATTGATGCGGGATGAGGAGAGGGGGCAATGCGCCGGAGTTAGAGGTGTTAGGGGTTTCGGTTGTCGTTCACCGTGCCTCAAGGGGGGAATGGCGAGACAGCATACTTCTATGTGGCCGAGTTGGCGGTTAGCAGTTGTTGGGGGTGGGAATAAAGACAGTGAACGAGTATTTAAACCCTCGTAGTGAGCGTCATTTTATGGAATGAGGACGAGTGAGCAGGATACGTTTCTGAAGTGAAATTCAGTCGCGGATCATCAAAACCCATCAAATGCTCCGTTGACTATCTGGTCGACTTGTCTTTCGAAGAGTTGCGAGGATAATCAGTTTTGACGTATACCGATAAGTCCTGTGAGATGCTATGTAGGGTGGGTCTATGTCGGTAGGTAGTCCTAAATTCGGAAGTCCAACTTTCAGGCCAGCACGCTATGCTTTTTTTCGAAAACGAATCGCGATGCTTGAAGTCGGAAGCTACAGAAAATTGTAAAATGGTCGACAGGATGGGTGGAATATGATAAACATGCCCTATTCCTGCTCAAAACCCTGCATAGTTTGGTCTTGTCTTCGAGTTGCGAGGAGTGACATCATAAAAGCAATGACAATGACTTTGGTTGAACCGATTCTTCATGTAAATTGACATACATTGACATTGATGCCGCTTGCAAATATAATCTAACATTTTAGACAACAAACACCCTCTCCGCACTTGGCCTCCAATCCATTTTCATCCCGGGCAACAGTCCCGATTTGAATCCTATCGAAAATCTTTTTGGAATAGTCAAAAGAAATTGGCACAAAGCTAAGAAGACTCTTCCAACGCAGGACAAATTGGATTTAATACTCAATGATTACATTTTACAATCCACCATAGACAACCTCGTCATGTCTGACAGACTTTCTGCCGTTATTAATTCAAATGGACAATCAACAAAGTACTGATTTTTTGTATCTGTTTTTGTCCTTAATTATTTTTGCCCTTTTATGCGCCCTCCTCCTTTATACGCCCTCATATGTAGCCTTTATTAACTTGGTTGTAGTATAGGCGTTTCTCGAAAATGTGACTTCTGTCGAAAGTTATTTATTTTTATCTCAGTAAATAATATTTTCTAAACCAAACTTTTCTTTATTTCTTTGACACATCTTTTATTTTTTGCTAACAGACTTTGGGAGCCGTGGTGTTTACCGATTCTGCGTTAAAGTCGTTTACCTGTGTTAATTCATGACATTTCATGAGTTAGCACAGGTACTGTAGTATGCTGACTCACACTTGCATTTGGTAGGGTGATATTGTGCCTGATGCAGCCGGTCTCAGTGATTTCGCGGGCTGTTACTCTTAACGTGTGACCATCTGCGACAGTGCATCTGGAGATGTCCCCTTCAGGTACAACGACTAAACACCGATGGCTCAGAAAACACCTCCATGTCTTGATGTATTGTGCAAAGGCAGATTCCGAGCTGGCCTTCGCCTCGGCGCCGTAAAAAAGGCAGCGACATCGAACTCACAAGATGGACAAAAAACGGGACCAAATCACCTCAGTCCTCCTTCTCACATGGCCCTGCGATGTCGTGGCGGCACATGCACGATAGCTGTACTATGGTGTGCGGCTAAACCGACACTGGAAGACCGCACGGACAGGTCAAACATTTCTTTGGTCAACTGACGCGTTTTAACTTGGAATGAGGAGAGATAAGAAGTATGGCCGATTGTGCACAGAAGTCACCAAAGGCCGTACAAGCATAGTGGGACCAACAAATAGAAGTAAGGACCACGACGTCCCCGGCCGACCAGTATGAGCTCACTCCTGACTAAAAGTCTGGTTATATCTCACGTCTGTCTGACTTATGTGTACCCTGTACTTCAAGATTTTTCGTAGTGGGAGGAGCAACGAACAAGGCAGTAAACGACGAAATGGAGTGAAGATTGAGTATCAGCAAGAAGATGCAAGACTCTGTTGGTTGAGCAACACAGGTCGGAGGTCATTTAAGAGAACGCGAGGCTAAAGCATTTTAAGGCGGTCGACACAAGATCTGAGTTGGTACGTACAAGCGGTTCGCCGACTTACAGATCGGATAGTGTGGTTTCCAGAGATTTCAATAACTGGCAGCCCCCAATTCTTGCAATTTCCTAGAGTCTGACAAGTAAATAAAGTCAGATTCGTATCCAGCTTTCGCCACGCCGTCGTCACGTTGGCTTCGTCCCCTTGTTCTAAAATTAATGCAAAACAACAAACTGAGGAACAACGGCATAATTTCAAAAAATGGAATGAACTGCTAATTTCGTAATAAACAGTGAGCATAGATACATCCCTGCAGCACATCCTGCTGACGCTGCAAAAACCAGCTCAGGACGTTCTAGGCCGATTGTCTGAAAGTTCTATTACGCAGAGGGCCAGGGTTAAAAGCCGAGTTCTTACATCAGCATAATACCTGTAAGGTTATACCCAAGCAAGTAAAATCGGAAATACCCTCTGACAAGCAGATGCGACACACCACTTACCACTAAACCCCTGACTAAAACGAATTCTCCCTGCTTAAGCTACAACACGTATGAGATCCATTTAAATAAGTTAAAAACAAAAACGTCCGAACCATTCGGGTGATTTTCGATCATTGATATTTGTGAAACATTGTTCGAACTACCTGATCTGATAAAAGCTATAAAGTGCGACGCTACACGCTCCAGAGATAGATCTATAGACAGAGGGCCATCTTTCGGGTAACTTATTGACTAAATTACTGTGTGGATGCCTGGAGATCACGTATTACGGTTACTACTGGAAGTCTCGGATGATGAAAAACAGGGTGGGATAACTCCCACAATCATTATGCAAACTTGGAAGAATACTAAATGAAAGTCTAATTTGTGATACTAAACGCTGCTATCGCCAAATTTCTGGCAGACCGTCCTAACTTTTTTCTTGGGAAGTGGCAGTCTGAAGCCTGACAGAGGATTTCAATCGGAGAGTTTGACCCCTGAAAGCAGTGGCGTACAGTCAACTCAATGATATAGGCGTCCACGGGATAGAGAACACGGTCTTAGCAAGTGTGTTTTTAGGCAGTAAGCTCATGAGGCCTCTTGAATAGCATCACAACAGATGGCAAATGCAATTTCTACAGTCCGCCTACTAGGAATGGATACCTAATTACTGTCGTGTTTAGAAACCCATATTATCCCTGTAGACGTTAAAAATGATGGGTATTTTGGGGTTCAAAGGATCAAAACTTTCGGAAATTCGCCGGCAAATACTCTGTCCCTAGCAGCCCTGAAAAATGTATCTGAACAACACATAATTTCATGCGCACTAACCCAAGGAAATGCACAAGATGAGTCGAGTGTAAACTAACTAAAAAGTAAGGAAGCGTGTAACGTGGCATGCACTCGGTTTCTTAGGACGTACTTCATCAGGCCTTGGCAGGTCATGATCGACAAAGGCAAAGTGTCATTTCTTCGGCCATCAACGTGACGTTCATACAAGGCTGGAAGGTTTGTGACGATCTTAATTGATTAGAGACTTCAACTATATGAATTATAAACGATCGAGAATAAGCCACCTTCAAACATGCCTCTAGCAAGCACTGGATATCGAAAGTAGAACCGTAAGAACGCTTACGTTAACGTATAACCGCATCGCGCGCAAGTCATAAGTGTTATCAATAAACCACCCAATTAATTTGCATAATTATCAAGGGAAATACGCTACCAGAGTGTTAAGTAATACTCAGCTAAACTTGTGCGACTCGGTCCAAGACTAGGGCATGCACTCAGTGGTGACACGTGTGGTTTTGTACAGTTCGTAAGTTAGTTTAATTACAACAACCTAGAACAAGTACAATGATGTCTTATTTCCTTATCCGCTAACATGCAAACCACCTTCCGACGCATGCCTCATACTGTCCCTAGTGTCTGACGCCTCATTTTTGTGCACTGATCGTCGGGCGGCCTGGTATTTACCTTAGATAGGCCGCTCTTATATTTTTCGGATACTAAGGCGGCATCAGCATGCAACATAAGTATCTAATTGTGGATGGACTCATTAAACAGTAAGTTGAGACACTCCCGAATAAATACAATAATTATCGGATTCTTAAGTCAGAGTCAAGGTGGCAACCATGTTTCATATTTGTTTGTGGACCAGAGGAGGCAGGGTGAGTCATCAATTGTGCTTCCTATGGTTACGGTAGAAAAGAGACATGAAGGCGGTGATATTGAAGCCTAAAACACCACCGAGCGTCGTGCGGTGTTTAACGATGGTATCACACATTATAGTTAATTCTGGATCGCGTCCCTCATACAAGCATGATCTACAGACAGATGCATCAGAGGCACCAAACTACTTAATGATCAATTGACATCCAAGTCGAATAAAAACTCGGAATAATAGTTAAACGAGTGTGCGTACTGGTGGCCTTAACCAAGAAAGTCGGACATCATCTGAGAAACATCGGTGGGCAAAGAGCAGAAAGTATCCCCGGTGAGTCCTAGTAGCCAACGAAGGGGCGAAACGAAATTGGCATGTCATGGTGCACTCTACACAAAAGGGGCGAAAATGCGGTGTAATCTAGCTACAAATAATTCGAATAACAAAAAAACATGATAATTATTGGATTGGTTAAAAAAAACTTACGCAACTTCTTCCTGATCTTTTGAAATTCAGCCATCTCGGCTTCCCAGGCTAGTTCCATGTCTTTTGCCGTTAGTAAAAAATCCGCCTCTTCTGATTTTTGCTTAGAGGAGCTTTCCTGATGATGAGGCGTTTGTAACATATGTTTAGCATCGTGCTCGTGGCGTTTTTCGTGGGCGGAAAGGTGACTGTTCTGGACTTCCAACTCAGAATAAAAGTTGTAAACGCGTTCTTCAAAAGCAGAAAGGGGTTTTGAGAGGACAGCTGGTCTGTGCACACACAAGCCTGCGAACAATTTCCACAGGGCCATGTGTGTTCCGGGAGGCTACCGTTCACTCTTCCCGTCTGTTAGGGGAGTTAAAACAATGGACAGTTAGATAATCCGATCAGGGTTAACGACAAGGGGCAGAAGAAGCAGCACTCCGAATAGTTCTGTAGATTGCCCTGAGGGTTTTGACGGATATAAATTCGGGCCATGAACCAAAGTATCTGGCATATTGAGTTATTTGTTGACTGAGTAGTCAAGTGTCGTCCTTCAAGTATCCCGACATGATGATGATGATGATGATGATGATGATGGTGGTGATGATGATGATGATGATGATGATGATGATGATGATGATGATGATGATGATGATGATGATGATGATGATGATGATGATGATGATGATGATGATGATGATGATGATGATGATGATGATGATGATGATGATGATGATGATGATGATGATGATGATGATGAGTAGATAGGTCGGGGAAACTACATTTCTTACCATTTATACAAACAGCCTGAGCAAAACAAAGCATATTTTCGTGTATGTTCTCTATAAAATATATTTGAATTTATAAGACCATTGAAAACCAATAGTAAAAATCCATGCTAATCAAGCAGTCCTTTTTTACCGAGTGTGGTTTCTGCAGGAGGTCCAAAGAAGTGTATTCATAAGCCGACATCCCTTTGAGACCGAAATGTTATAGGATTATGCTGCGTGATATTCAGTATAGCAATCCCACTTAAGTAATCCTGCTTAATCGGAAACGCATTCGAGAATTTTGGCCAACATTTCATGAGATCGGTCACACGCTGTACATATCAAACCGACGACTTTCTTTTATTGCAGGAACCTGCTACTGAAAACGACGGCCATACTTGTCATGTAGTATAACAAAGCGTGATAAACGATATTTATTACTGTACGTATTTCTTCTTACCCGTTTTGTCTAAGTTAGGTTCCTACAATCATTAACTGGCGTCCAAAGGTTCTGTCAAACTGGTTAATAAACCGTAGGCCTCACGCGCGGGGGGGCTTCTAGTCGCAATTTGGGACTTAGCGTACCATATTTGGGCCTGATGCGGCAATGTCTGAGTTGAAAGCGGTATGGTAAAGGCGGGCGAGGGATAAATGACGAAAATGTGGCGTCTCCGTAGGCATTATTTTTTCGCGGTTAGGGCAAGCGGCCAGCAGCGAGGAAAGGCCCCATCATAGTTTCTTGGTACATCTCTACTAGCCTCGTCATAGCCCCGTCATTGCTGCCTCGTAAAACAATGTTGGGTGCTTGCAAGGCGGGGCTGTTGTCAGCAGGCGATTTTTCACTGATGTGAAAATAAGATTATTATTATTTTGCGAAGAAATTACTGATTCGACAAGTTGGATTCGGCTGGATACAGAAAGATAACAGAACGCAAACTGAGATAACATGGGATTTTCAAAGGCCACTTAAACACCGTGCGATTACACGTTTTGCACTTTTGCAGTTAGTCGCGTTCTGAGTTATACCACAATAACTCTATTTGTGGAATTACGTTAAGCATTGCACAGTCAAGTTTTCGTCGTATGGCATATGGATTCTTACAGAAAAGACTAGATATATTTAAGGGCCCTTGGACCATCAATACATCCACGGCGGCGCTTGGTAACTTCGGGAGATTTAATGGTTTTCAGACGGTCATCTTTACTCAGCTGCCTGAACGACTCTCATTTCCTTTATTCTTTGGCATTTATGGCATTTGTCTGATTGCCAACCTCTCGGATGGCATTATCAGTGAACAATGAACACCAATTTAAGTAATAGCTTCAACCCAACTTTTTTCACTGCTAAGGAAAACCAAGTGCGCTTTGAACCCATAAAAACAGGCTATCTAGTCATGAAGAGTTTCTAACAGAATGGGTAACCCAGTCCTCCCTTTGGCCTTTAGTCAGGCTAGGGTGATTCGCCTGCAAGAAGTGTTTATGCGCTCTGTCATATGTGGGATTAGAACCGCTACGATTAATTATGTTACGTGCGAATCTAAGAAATACGGCGTGTGGTACAGGCCTATACGGACTCTTTGACTATCATTTCAGGCTTGTAGAACCATGTGCGGTCTCACTAAATTTGCCTGTCGTCGGAAAGCAGACGTTATAGATGAGACACATGGCTGTATGTCATTTGACAGTTAAACAAGCAATCATTCATTGCACCATTCCTTGAGGATTGTACTGATACGTCAATGACAGGTAATCTACTTTGGTTGACATCAATAATGAAACATATAACAGAGGGGATTCTTTCATCTATAAGAGAATAAATCGTAATGATACCTGCACCTTATCAAATGTCATGGCCACAGCTTTAAGGTAAGATTAAGGAATGGATTACACGAAAATTCTAGGGACTTTCGCTATTTAATCCAGTTGATTTTCGTGAGAAAAATATAGAATTAAAAACACACGTGTCACCACCGGCCAGGCTCTATGTTGCCTACTTAACTAGCAGATATCTGCCCTGTTGGCAGATGTCTGTCTGTTGGCAGTTTTTTATGAACAGAATATGCATCAAATGGCTTGAAATTTTCAGGTTATGTTCCTGATATTATCGGCTACTCTCAGCCTCTGACTTCTGAGGGGAACCTTTGGCGAATAAACTGCATTGCCTGCGGCTTGCTGTTTAAAGTTGCAAGACAGCAGCAATTGCAACTTCCTAGTGTGACCTATTGTCGATCAATGGTTCCTTGAGACTTAAAATAAGTACACATCGAATCCCATCCAAAGCCCTTCCAGTATATGCTGAATATTTAGCAGCTGCAGTGACAATCGGTGCTTATCAGTAGCTTTTATCTCAAGTGTAGAAAATCATCCATTATCGAGGCCTCTGTGTTCTCCCTATTTCATGCCCAAACGTGCAAATGAAGCTGCTTAAACCTGGGAAGCATGGCACTTGTTCACCGGTTGTACCGTAATGTTTTCGAAAATAATAGGCGTAGAGAGTCTTTAACTATTAAGGATGTGAATGCTTCTCAATCAGTTGCTCAAATCTTCCGTCAATGATCATCTGCTTAATCGCACCAAGTCATTCCGCCTTTGTTTACTACCAACGATGCCTTCATTACGGAGAGGTCAGGCAAAGTAGAAGTGTTAAATTCGTTCTTTGCCAACCATTTCATTATTGAAACTGACTCAATCCCTTTGATTCCTCCGTTGTCTGATGCTTCTCTTATCATCATCAATTTTTCTCCTGAACGTATTTAAAAACTGAAAAACCATCTTCCTAACTCTCACTCAGTAGCTACGGACAATATCCCAAACTCTCGTATAAAACAGCTAAGAGATTTTCCTCTTCTGCTTAGCAAAATCTTTTCAGTATTTCTCGTAAATGGCTTCTTCCATGACTATTGGAAAACTTCTATCGTTATTCCAGTATTTAAGTCTGGCTGACGTTCTGACGTTCAAAACTTTCGAGGTGTCCATAAAACACCCTCTATCGCAAAAACCTTTGAAAAATTTATCGCCGTAAAAATTACCGACTTTTGCATAGCCAATCAAGTTATTAGCCCTTCCCAGCATGGATTTTTTACCAGATCACTCTTGTGAAACATGTCATTTGTCGTTTCTCAATCTACTTACTTCTCTTCGTAATGACCATCTATCTGTTGCTTTTATTTATTTCGATCTTAATAAAGCCTCTCATAAAGAGCCACATAAAGGAATCTCGGTTAACTTAGAAGCTCTGGAAATTCGCAGTCCCCTAATAGACTTTATTATGTCATACCTGTCTAATCGTAAACAAAATGTTTTCGTGGGATGTTCACTTTCCAGTGAAAGCCCTATTATAAGTGATGTCCTACAAGGCGGCGTTTTACGTCCTCTTTTGTTCCTGCTTTACATAAATGATAGCCCGTCGGCGGTTAAACATTCTCAATCATTTATTTATGCCGATGATCTCAAATGTGTATATTCTTTCAACAAATCTACGAGCCTTCATTGCCTGGAGCAGATCCATGCTGACTTGCTTGCTCTCTCAACTTGGAGCTCAAAATGGCTAATAGAATTCTCTCCGTCTAAATGTCGCTATATGTGTTCTGGACCTGAGAGTCTACCTCAACCAGTGGTCTTTCAAGGCACACCTTTGGCAAAATGTATCACCATCAAGGATTAAAGTTTAAGCTACACTAGTAATCTTGATCTCTCGTCACACGCTGATAGAATTACAGCCAAAGCTGCGCAGATTTGTGGCTTTATTTCTCACAATTTCTATTTTCCTGAAATTAAATTAAGACTCTATCGTATGTTTGTACTTCCCAATCTCGACTATTGTTGCCCATTCTTTGGTTTGATGAACGAGGCTAGTCGTTTAAAAATTGAACATGTCCAAAGACGTTTTTCTAAAAACTTTTAGATAGGGAACATCCCAACATCTCCTACTCAGATAGATGCCAGCTAATTAACCTAAACTTTTTATGCGTTTGAAGACAAGAAGCAGGCCTCTGTCTCCTCTTTCGCATTAATAATAGTTCAAATCTTGCTCGGATTTCAGCACTTACCCCTAGTAGTCGCCCATACAATCTTCGCAACTCGTCCTTAATTATACCTCCTCCAGCTTCTTCCACCTTTAAGCGTTAACTATTTTTCGCTTCCAGATATACTTCCCTCTGGAATAGCCTTCCAATTAATATAAGATATTCAGATAATCTACACGCTTTTAAGAGTAGGCTACGCCTTTATTTGAATACTGACTCGATTAAACTTTTATGTTCCTCCTCCTTCTCAGGCAACTTTTCGCAAGACACTGAGAAAGGGCCACCGGGAATTTAGTATGCCGCCATTAAATTGCCTTATCTGCTCACATTTCCTTCTTTTGTGAGTCGTATCGTTTTCTAGGATCCCTCATCAAAAGTGTTAATTTTTCGGTTTTTCAGTCCATCCATCGTGCCCTCACAGAATGCGATCTATCGACGCTATTGGCGGAATCTTCGTATTTGCCATACACTAGTAGTCTGGTCGCTTCTCCCTTGCCCCCTTCTTGGATGGATTCTGCTGGTTGTAACTGATCGCATCTGGGTTCCTATCGCCTCGATCCTTTAGCTCAAATCTACATACAGACCAGTCCTGCCTGACCCGCCTAATTACCCCTCCATGAAATCCGTCATATAATGACATATACAGCCCGGTCCAGCCTGCATTTTATAAACTAATGAGCGAGTTTTTCCCCCTATCGTTCTAATCCAATCATACGCATTTTCTTTATGTTAGGAGTTTTTTACTTCTCGGTCAACATTTTTCGTAACATGCTACCTATTCAAAAACAATGAATTAATTACTCTAATAATTCTACATACTTCGTCCAAACGTCTAAAATTAATGTAAAAGTTATTCTTACTTGCTATGAGAAGACCTTTACGGGTCTTGAATAAAGATTATTATTATTATTTACGGTGGTAAGAGGATGGAAGGGTGGACGAAAACACTAACTTCGGCGCCGTTGGCGATCGCGACGATGCTGAACACGAAAGTGCTGAGTAACACATGCCTGAAAAACCGCGAATTTGACGATATCCGGACAATTCGATATGTGCTGTGAGCGTCAAGTGACAGTGCGTCATGTAACTAGGTGTTGGGTGTTTGTCTCGTTGTTCCGCGGTACTCGGGAGTTGTGCGTCACTCTCTTCATTGCGGCGTATGCTATGTGATGGACGCCATAGAGAGAATAGAATAGGTTTATTATAGCATCTCTTGGGTGCCGTCAGTCTCTTTTCAACACAGGAAAAATCTAAACCAAACTCGTCTCTTTCGGTCGCACTTTGTCTTTATTTGTTTGAATATCTGCTTAGTCCATAGAGCACAAATTACGAGCTTGTTTTAAGTTAAAAAAACCGGAGCTCCAGAACAATAAGTTGGAAAAGAAAAAAAAAGAAAAAGAACGATATTTACCATGAAGAGATTTGACTTTGGTAGTTTTGGGATTACTAAGGTGTCGCCCTTCGTGTAACTTAAATAAGTTTGACCTAGGTCTGACGTGAGGATTATTTTCGGGTTGATCAAACTTGGGTATCTGCCAGTTGCTGGTTGTCAGTTACTTAGAGGTGGCCATATTGTGGTGAGGTACCTGACTAATTTACCTTTGACAATTCAGTCCCTTTTTCTTTGACCGCATTGTTTGTTTGAATGTGACGAGAAACGACACATCTGCACAACCCGCCTTGCTAGCGTGCTCTGCTGTGGTATTCTGTTGTCAGTTTTCTTAACGTTCAAAAATCTCTATATTATTCACTGCTCAGTTTTACTTGCTGCTTTTAGGCTAGGGGCTCGTGAGATATAACTCGTTAGTTCCTGAGAACATTACAATTTACGACATTGGTGACTCCCGACCTTAACGCAGACTTTATGCCTTTCTGTCATACTGGATAACATTTAACGTACTATTTGCTTGTGAATATTTATTCCATTTTCATTTACTTTCCTCATGAATTCTGATATTTTAACATTTCTGTATTATTATGTCTTACTCCGATCAACAACTTGATGCCCACGCCCAGTCCCCTCATGCTATCAATTTTACCTTGTCTGAATTCTGGCAACACGCTCCAGAACTTTACTTCATCCGCATAGAATCAGCCTTTTATTCTGCCAACGTTACCAAGGAGCTAGCAAAATACCACAAACTTGTGGAGGTCTTCCCCGCTAGTGTCATTTCTCAAGTTCAGTTCTTGCTAGCTAATCCTCCTGCAGATGCTCCCTACTCCGCGTTAAAGGCAGAAATCTTCCGACTTAATTCTGTGTCTGACCGACAGAGGTATCACCAGTTAATTAAGGAGTAGTCACTGGGTGACCGGAAGCCTTCAGAGCTTCTACGTCGAATGCGATCTCTCCTTGGAGACATGCAAGTTGACGATAAATTTGTCAAGGAGATGTTCCTAGAGCGTCTGCCCGCAGATGTTCAAACGATTCTGGCATCTGGTTCTCAGGATCTTACGGTATCACAGCTGGCGGAGATGGCGGATCGAATGATAGAAGTGCAACGGTTCCAGTTACCTTCCGTTGCCCAGATCTCCTCATCTTCATCGTCAGTGAGTGAAAATGTAGTGAAACAGGTGTCGGCCATGGCGGATGAGATGGCCTCCCTTAAAATACAGCTCGCCCGCCTAACTTCCAGTCGCTCACTCAGTCGTCGTCGTTCTCGTTCGCGACCTCGGATTGTTGATACTTGCTGGTACCACATTAATTTCGGCGTAAAGGCCCGTCGCTGTTCCTCACCTTGGTCTTTTAAGCCGAAACAGGGAAACCAGTCAGCCAGAGAATAGATGCGACCGTTTTCTCTGGCTCTTCCGGCTCTGGTCGCACCTTCTATGTTTGCGACACTGCGACTCGCAGACGTTTTCTGCTGGACACTGGAGCTCAAATCAGTGTTGTTCCTCCAACTGCAGCTGATCGTCGTTTCCCTAGCCCTGGTTTTCATCTTCAAGCTGCTAACTGTTCCCCAATTCCCACTGTTGGCAGTCTGTCCCTCACCCTGAACATTGGCCTTCGTCGGTCATTTACTTGGATCTTTGTGATTGCTGATGTCCCTCATGCAATCCTCGGCTCGGACTTTCTTGCCGAGTTTGATCTCCTTGTTGACTGTCGACGTGCCCGTCTTCTCGACCGCACAACCGGTCTGTTTGTTCGTGGACTAACTCCCTTTATAACCCCCACAAACTTATCTGTTTTGGATACGGATATTGCTAGTCCTTTTCGGCAACTGCTTCTTAGTCACCCCAACATAATTAACCCCCAGTTTCGCAGTGGTGAGGTTCAACATGATGTTGTGCACCATATCCGCACCTCAGGTCCTCCCGTGTTTGCTCGACCGAGACGACTAGCACCGGAGCGTTTTCAGGCCGCGAAGGCGGAGTTTGAACACATGCTGCAACTGGGAATAATTCGACCGTCCGAGAGCCCTTGGGCGTCCCCACTGCACATGGTGCCCAAGGTGACATCAGGCGACTGGCGACCCTGTGGCGACTATCGTGCCCTCAACAGCGCTACCATTGCTGATCGGTACCCCGTGCCGCATCTTCAGGACTTTGCTGGAGCCCTTATCGGCAAAGCGGTTTTCTCGAAGATTGATTTGGTGCGTGCCTTTCATCAGATTCCAGTCGCCCCTGAGGACATCCCTAAAACCGCCGTCACCACACCCTTCGGTCTCTTTGAGTTCGTACGCATGCCGTTTGGTCTTCGTAATGCCGTCCAAACGTTCCAGAGGTTCACTGACCATGTCTTACGTGGCCTACCCTTTGTGTACGCCAACACTGATGACCTCTTGGTGGCCAGCCGGAATGAAGAAGAACACGAACAACGAAACGTCTGTAAAAGTGAGGCCTCAAAGCTGCGAAAGAAGTTTGAACTAAACATACTCGGAAATTCGTTGGAGCATCCGAAAATTCTATATGGTTATATACGAAGTACTAAAAGGACTCAGGAGCTGATCCCTGTCCTTAGGTCTGCAGATGGAAAAGTGGAGATTGATGACCAGGCTAAAGCGTCCCTCCTTTCCGACTTCTTTCAGTCCGCCTTCACCCGAGAACCTAATTCTATATTTGCCCATCCATCCATTCGCCAACCAACCTCTCCTCCCAGTACCCTTTCCCCTCCTATCCCCTCCCTACCCTCCTTAACCGAGGAACCACTCTTTTCATCTACCATAGTTAGGGCCGAGCTACTCCGGCTGAAACCTGCCAAATCGCCTGTCCCAGATAGAATTCCCGCCCTAGCACTTCGTGAACTTGCTAATGAACTGTGCAAACCCTTATCCGCAATATTTCAAAAGTCATTTGAAGACGGCGAGCTCCCGCAGGAATGGAAGTGCGCACTCATTACTCCAATCCATAAAGGAGGCTCAAGACTTGACTGCGGAAATTATCGTCCTGTCAGTCTTACTTGCATCGCGTGTAAAATAATGGAACGCATTCTCAAGAGATGCTTGATGAAATACCTGGAACAGAACAAAATATTGTGCGATGCCCAACACGGCTTTCGTCCAGGGCGCTCCTGCCTAACGAGTGTTCTTTACTCGCACGAGAAATGGACACGAGCTACCGATAAGGGTTTTCCAGTAGATGTCATATTTTTTGACTTCAAGAAGGCCTTTGACAGTGTCCCACACAGGCTTCTTTTACAAAAGATCTGGGATGTAGGGATTCAAGGGAGGATGTTTAAGTGGATCAGGAGTTTTCTGTCCTCCAGACTACAAAGAGTCGTCGTTAGTAATTCTACCTCGGAATGGGTGAAGGTGGAAAGTGGTGTCCCACAGGGTTTTGTCTTAGGCCCAGTACTCTTCCTGATTTATGTTAATGACTGCATCAGCGAAGTGAATTGCGAGGCTCTCATGTTCGCGGATGACATGAAAATATGGAGTGAAGTCAAGTGTGATGATGAAGCAGAGAAGTTGCAGTCGAACATCAACAAACTGTGTGCTTGGTCGAACAGATGGCTTTTGAAGTTTAACGTGTCCAAATGCGTGGTTTTGCACCTGAACACCGGCCGCAATGCCTCTCTCAAACACCAGTACTATATTGACGGAACGGCATTAGAAACTGTAGAAAGACACAGAGATCTGGGTGTTTGGACGACCACAAATATATCGCCATCAGAACACTGCAGAAAGATGATCCAGAAGGCTATTAGTACTCTACACTGGATCAGACGTGCATTTAAAATATTTCCTCCCGAACTTTTCGAAAGACTCTTTGGTGTCTTTGTAAGACCTCATTTAGAGTATGGAATGCCAGCAGCTTCACCATGGATGAGGAAGGATATCAACTTACTCGAACAGGTGCAACGCAGAGCGACAAAGATGGTCGACGGTCTAAAGCATTTGTCTTATCAGGACAGGCTGAATTTGCTTGGCCTATTCCCTCTCTCTTATAGACAAATAAACTGCAGTCTACTCTGGACGTTCCGGATTGTTCGCGGCCAGGGTTGCTCATTAAGAGCACAGGACTTCTTTGAGTTCCCCGCACAAACCAACTACGCGGCCATGCATACAAAGTCGGGAATGAGCGCACGCGTTTAGACCGACGAAAATTTTCATTCAGCCAGCGGGTTGTCAGGCCGTGGAACTCGCTTCCCGGCGAGATGGTGACGGCTGACACAGTTTGTGTGTTTAAAAGAAAACTTGCTCGTCTAGTTTTCGACAGAAATCGGCTTGCACAGCATGACTATGCACAGCCAGTATTGTAAAATCTGTCACATACAATCTTCCGCACTAATTTACAGTGACCCTATGTACTACCCTATGATTACGATTGAACTGTGACCCAATCACATTTTAAATGCCTGCAATTTAATTTTATTTTTGAGTATGAATCTGCGAAAGCACTGTACATAAATAGGGTCATCAAGGGCTCTGCCTGTAACTCTTCAATATACGTATACATACATGAAGAGAGAAGGCTCGTCGGAAAAATTGAGTTGTACTCGTAAATTTTCGAGCTGGTGACACCAACCCGTCGTCAGACGAAATAAACGGTGGAGAAAGTGAACTGGTCAGAATAAATTTGCTGGCGTGACAGGCAAGCAACTAATGTGTGAATGGGGGTGGACAGATAATTAGGCTGGGATCCGTGGCGGGGGAGGGAAGGGGGAATTGTTGCGTCTTCCTGTGTTGGAGGGTAGGGGGGATACCGAATCAATGGGACTATGGGCAGTTGGCCTAATGGTCGTCGATCCGGCATGCGGGCGGAGGTCGGTGAGCCCAACGTAGAGGTGTTACGGGTTGCAGTTGCGGTTCGCTGTGTCTGGGGGTGTAATGGGGTGACGAAATAGTGCGATTCTACATGGCCCAGTGTGGATTAGCGGCTGTTGTTAGGTCGTGGGCGCAAGTCAGTGAGCCGGGCGCGCAGACCTTCGTAATGAGCATCTAGATCGACATGGCGATTTATGCTTGTCGTGTTAGAGTGCCAGGCTTCGAGGAATTCACGAGCGTGTTTGGTGTTCGCCATGGCAACAACTTCAGTTCCTTCCCAGTTGAAGCGATGGTCGCATTCAAGGGCGTGTGCAAACACGAGTGAAAAAGGATCACGTCGGCGAATGGCTAGTTAATGCTCGTTTATACGCGTCCCAAGTCGTCGGCCTGTATGACCAACATAGTCGCAAGAGCAGTTGGCGCACGGAATGCGGTAGATGACATTGGTTTGCTGCTCTTTAGGTATAGGGTCTTTCACTCGCGATAGTGTTGCGCGCACAGAGGACGCCGGCTTGTGGGCAATGAAGATGCCAAACCGGTTTAGTTGTCGGGCGATCGCTTCGGAAATACCCTGCATGTAGGGTAGCGAGTAGAATTTCCGATGTTCTGGTCCCTTATTAGAACCAAAGCCTTGTGGTTGTCTTTGATGCCTGAGACAATTTTTTACAAAGCTGACCGGGTATCCGTTGAGTCGGAATAACCGATACAGGAAAGCGAGTTCTTTCTTACGTTCTTTCTTACGCTGCTGCAGTACCGATAGGCCCGGTGGAAAAGGGTTCGGACACAGCTCCTTTTATGAGACGCAGGATGGTTGCTTTCATAATTAAGAATGACGTCAGCACTGGAGTCTTTTCGGTAGACGCTTGTTGCGAGGCCGCCATCACTTAGTGTTTGGATACTAACGTCTAGAAACGGGAGAATGCCTCCTGTTGCCTTTTCGCAAGTAAACTGGATAGCTGGGAACACGCTATTCAGACTCAGGTGTAGCTGCTCAATTTCGCAGGTCTTCATGATAACAAACGCCCCCCAGACACAGCGAACCGCAACTGCAACCCGTAACACCTCTACGTTGGGCTCACCGACCTCCGCCCGCATGCCGGATCGACGACCATTAGGCCAACTGCCCATAGTCCCATTGATTCGGTATCCCCCCTACCCTCCAACACAGGGAGACGCAACAATTCCCCCTTCCCTCCCCCGCCACGGATCCCAGCCTAATTATCTGTCCACCCCCATTCACACATTAGTTGCTTGCCTGTCACACCAGCAAATTTATTCTGACCAGTTCACTTTCTCCACTGTTTATTTCGTCTGACGACGGGTTGGTGTCACCAGCTCGAAAATTTACGAGTACAACTCAATTTTTCCGACGAGCCTTCTCTCTTCATCATATTATCTCGGAATGCACACTACCTCAGCTATCCAGTATACATACATATACAAAGAGCATCTTGCCTTGGTGTTTGACCGTCTTGACAAGTTTGGTGTTGTCATCAACCCCTCCAAGTGCGTGTTGGGTGTGCCTTCGCTCGAGTTCCTTGGTCATCAGGTTGACTCTGAAGGTTTGCGTCCCCTCCCCTCCAAGGTTGAAGCAGTTCGTAATTTTCCTCCTCCAACTTCCAAGCGTCAGTTGCAGAGATTCCTCGGCATGGTCAATTTTTACCGTCGGTTCCTACCGAACTGTGCTGACCTCATGCTGCCGCTCACCAACATGCTTTCTGGTCCCAAAAGTCCCCTCGAGCTGACTGGTGAAGCACTGACTGCTTTTGAGAGAATCATGGATTCCCTTGTCGATGCCACCTTACTCACGCATCCCGCTCCCGAAGCTCAGCTGTCTCTGATGGCAGATGCCTCGACTGTAGCCGTAGGTGCAGTCCTTCAGCAACACCTTGCTGATTCGACTCAACCACTTGCTTTTTTCGCCAAAAAGCTCTTACCGGCTGAGACACGCTACAGTACATTTGGCCGTGAACTACTTGCCATTTACCTGGCTGTGAAGCATTTCCGGCATTTCCTTGAAGGTCGTGACTTCACTGTTTTCACTGACCACAAACCGTTGACTTTTGTACTTCGTTCTCACTCCGACAAGTACAATCCGATGGAAATTGCCCACCTGGACTACATCTCCCAATTCACTACCGACATCCGCCACATTGATGGCACGAAGAATGAGGTGGCTGATATGCTGACTAGACCCACACTGTCTTCCCTCCAACTCTCACACGGGATCGATCTTTGTGCCATGGCGTCTGAACAACAGCGAGTCGGTTGTCCTGGCGACGAGTCTGTTAGTGGTCTCCAACTCAAAGACGTTCCTCTGACCACCGGTTCTGGTACCATACTTTGTGACGTCTCAACTCCCTTTCATCACCCTTTTGTGCCCGCCTCGATGCGTCGAGCTGTCTTTCAAACTCTGCATGGTCTCTCCCACCCAGGGATCCGAGCCTCTCAAAAGCTCCTCGCGGAAAGGTTTGTCTGGCCTGGCATGAACAAGGACGTCAAAGCTTGGGCCCGGTCGTGTCTGAGCTGCCAGCGCAACAAGGTGCAGCGTCACAACAAGTCCTCACCAGGCACTTTTCCCAGTCCCGACGTACGGTTCAGCCATGTGCACCTGGATATCGTAGGCCCCTTGCCTCCATCCAATGGTTTCACCTACCTCCTTACCTGTGTCGATCGATATACTCGCTGGGCTGAAGCTATTCCTTTGCCGAATGTTCAGGCTGAAACCATCGTGAAGGCCTTCGTCAGTCGTTGGGTCGCCATGTTCGGTGTCCCATCCACGGTTAAGACTGATCGTGGTGCCCAGTTTGAGTCGGCACTCTTCCAAACGCTACGCAATTGCCTTGGCTGCACACGCATTCGGACGACAGCCTACCACCCAGCTGCCAACGGTATGATGGAAAGTTTCCATCGCCAGCTAAAGACCGCCCTGCGTGCCGTAGAAGACCCAGGAAACTGGTCGGACAACCTTCCTCTTGCACTCCTCGGCATCCGCGCAGCTCTGAAGTCGGATCTGGGCTGTAGCGCAGCTGAATTGGTTTTCGGCACTACCCTCCGACTGCCAGGCGAGATGATCACCCCAACCTCTCGTGGAGCCGACGAGATTCCTGACAATCTTGTGCACCGTTTGCGGCAATTTATGCGCTCGCTTTCCCCGGTTCCACCTCGAGCTCCAATGACTGAGTCTTATGTCGAAAAAGACTTTGACAAATGTACTCATGTGTTTGTCCGGTGTGACCTTCCGGATCCTTCGCAGTGACAAGGAGGACGTGGTCAGTGTCGATCGGATCAAGGCTGCTGTTGTAGAGGAGCCGCCGGACCGGTCACAAGGACAAAAATGTGCTGATCCCCTAACCCCTGTTCCTCCATCTTCCCTATCCCCTGCTCATTCACCCTGCCCACTGCGTCGCCCTTCCCCTCCCTTGCCCTCTATCCCTCCGTCCCGCATACTTCCTCTCCCTGCATGTCAACAGCATCCAACTGCAACACCATCGTCCACCACAGCACGCAGTCAACCCCCTTCGACTGTACCTCCTGCATACATAACTCGCAGTGGCCGTCACGTTCATTTTCCCGATCGTTTAGTTACGCATTTTTTCCAGACTTGTGCATATCCTCCGGCCCCGTATCCCGTCGCCCTCCGGTCTAGAAGGGGGGTACTGTGGTGAGGTACCTGACTAATTTACCTTTGACAATTCAGTCCCTTTTTCTTTGACCGCATTGTTTGTTTGAATGTGACGAGAAACGACACACCTGTACAACCCGCCTTGCTAGCGTGTTCTGCTGTGGTATTCTGTTGTCAGTTTTCTTAACGTTCAAAAATCTCTATAGTATTCACTGCTCAGTTTTACTTGCTGCTTTTAAGGCTAGGGGCTCGTGAGATATAACTCGTTAGTTCGTGAGAACATTACAATTTGCGACAATATCGTTCGTCTGTGCTCCCGGAAAGCTTACCATGGATGTCTGGTCTAGCAGATGGAAAAGGTGGTTATATATCAGGAACAGTGAACATCCAGTGGTAAGTCGCAATCGAATATATTAAAATAATATTGAATCGGGTATCACACTGTTCCTAATAATATGCAATTATTGGAATATCGGTCGACCATTTACTATGATCTAGTATAGTTTTTCATAGGTTTAATATGGTCTTAATATAGTCTTACGCACAAATCGTGTGTAGGGTTTTGTCGAAATATATATTGCTAAGTAAGAGGAATTTTTTAGTTTTTATTCGAAATCCAGTTAGGATTCGACTTTTTCGAATAGAACTTGGGAGGACATTGAAGACAGTCGCATATCTTATGGAGTAGAAATTCGATCGTTGGGCGTTTTTTAATGTGGGATTATTGTATCCAGTTGGTCAACGTTTGGAATTCTCGACGGCCACTTCGCAAGCGCTTTCATATTTGTCCTCTGTTGACATTCCCTTTCATCTTTTTGTAACGATCTTTTGAGCGTGGTCTGTGTTTGTTAAATTACTTGGTTTTCGTATTCTGACCTTGAGCTGGGAATTGGGTTTGCTCGAACAGTAACAAAGCAATTCTTCGTCTAGAGTATCCATTGTTGAGTACTGTAGAATTCTTTGTCAACTGAGTCATGCGTATGTACACAAAAATCTGTTTTTAACTATACGCGTGACTCAGTTGACGAAGAATTCTACAGAGATCATCATAATATCTTCGTTATTTCTATCGTTTCCGGGCGTTTTGGTTTGTCAGTGGATTCCTTTTGAGATTATCTTAGTATGACTATGAATGGGAAATTTGGATCATTTTGGAGTCTTTTGATCCAGAGGGGTCGAAGACAGTATCTATAGTATAGTTCTAAGTATAAACCTTGTTTGCCATCACATCTAAACAAAAATCTAGCAAAGTGTCTTTGTATGCCTTCTAGTTTCTTTCGACCATCTGAGGGCATTATCTCAAAGCAAACTGAGCAGCAATCGAGGAAAGGTACAATTTCAGCTTCAGTGTACCATGACTGCTGATCCCGGAAGAGGTGTTTCGGGTATATACAATTCGCTTCACTTAGTGTCCCTTAAGTTACTGTAATAGTAAGTTAAACAATTTTTCGAGTGAATTTTAGGATGACTAGGCAGACATTGTGCAGTTTACAGCCCATGCTTATAATATAGGCAGTCTGATGTGAAGAATTGTTAGCGGACATTGAAAGAAGTTCCCATCTCTGTTTTGAAAAAGGCAATGTGAATGTGAGTTATTAAGTTTTTAGAGAGAAAAAGCTGTCGTTCATGGGAAGGTAAATGCGAGTGTGGGACAGTGACGTCCCTCAGGTATGAGTATATATGGATTCAAAACGGTTCTTATCAAGGTTAAATCGGATGAGGCCCTTCGCTGCAGATGCTATCCTTACATTTCTGGGTTGACACCAGATGCAACCGTCAAGGTGGCGAGAAGGTAGGGACCCAACGCGATCAGCCATGGTCAGCTTAGAATCGAGGAGAGGAGCGGATATCTAAGACCGCAAGGATCATGAAAGCGCGAGAAGGCACTTTAGGCTGTGACCAGTTGCTTAGTTTGAATGGGGCTCTGAGTACTCCTAGATTTCTCTGTGTCAGTAGACGATGTGAGTGAATTTAAGTTTTCGTCGCATTAGCTTTTGTTTTGGTGCCAGCAGTAATTCTGCCAACTAACGTTATAGTTGTTATGACCCGGCCTGGTACCCAGGAATCACGCGAGGCGTATGCACACTCGACTTTTTCCCGAACACCAACACGGCAGAGGAAGAAAACACGACCGGCAACGAAAAAAACATGCATTAGAACTGCAAGTCATTCTCACTGGAATTGTAACGCGTATTTATAACATCATATTGGGATTAGCTGGCATTCCTTCCAATGCGCTTCGCGAAGTGAGTCCCAGGAGAGCTGGGAAACTTTCCGCAGTCGCGAATTAGTTGGATTCAAGGGGAACAGCCAGTGACGAGACGCTAGCAGCACCCTGACAAAGTGCTAGCGGCATGCTAAAGTATGCGTACGTGACTTCCGATGCGTGGCCGGCTCTCGTTTTTTGGAATGTAGGCACTCGTAACAATAGCTCCTTAAATAAAGCTCAAATCTTCCTCGGAAACGTCAGGTTCTCATATTCTCTTCTGTACAGAAGAGCAAATAGTATCGTTATGAACTCAGATTGCTCGATGTATGATAACAAAATAGTGCATTTACTCCCTAAATTGTGTTCAACTTTGGAGAAAAAGGGACTTAATGTTACGCCTGATATCTCGTTCTTCTACGGGATGTTTAACAGAGCTAAAAAATAAACAGATTGTCTCTGAAGGGGAAATTCACGGGTAAATATCGTCATCCTCTGCAAGAAGACCAAAAGGAACCAACAATTCCCAAAATATCAGGGAGTATTATTTACCTTTCAAAGGCGGTTATGCGTCAAACAGAAATAAACGATGGTAAGCACGAACGATTAAACTGACATGCATCGACCCAAACTCGTTGTTCTTAAGTTCCGCAACTGTCCTCTAAGTTAGTCCAAGTATTCACATCATGCTGGCACACTAAACGTTAAACTGTATTCGTGGTATCACGTGATACTACTGACATTGATACATCAGGCGAAGGTATAGGCGGCTAGCATCCCCGTTGAAAGTGGCTGCTGACACAAAGATACTTTCAAAAGGCAATTTGCCGAACATACGTCTGATTTCGATAAATTCTCTTCAGGTCTGTACATTTATATGGATATTGAAGTAATGAAGAGTGATTTACAAGGTCCCATCAAGCTATCCAAAACTACTTGGGCAGCGCTTGTTGGCTACGGCAGAGGCGGCTGCAATCAGGCTACACCGACCGGCCCTATGCGTACAGAAGAACTTCATACAGGTCCCACAGTTACCAGGGGTAAAAGCCACCAAGCCAGCCACCCGCATGTAATTACCTTCGCCGGGACCCACCTCCCGGGCGCTGACTGGAATTGTGGTTTTTCACTCTCCCCCTCCCCTCTCCTCCCCTCTCCAAACCCGAGCTACAGCTTAATTATCTACTTGCCCGTATCTTTTAATTCATTACTTCAATAGCCATATAAATGTACAGACCTGAAGAGAATTTATCGAACGCAGAAGTATGCTCGCCAAATTGCCTTTTGAATTTTACAATGAAAATTTTCGCAACCCCACAAAGATACTTTGTTGGCAAAACTTCACCATCCTAAAGACGGTGCAGAGACGGACGACAAAAGGGACAAAATGTCTGGGAACACTGCCCTATGAAACCAGCTTGTCAACTTTCAACCTGTATACCCGTTTCTACAGGCAACTACGCGGTGATCTTATACTAACATTCCTCATTATAAACGACCTAGACTGTTGCTTAGTTCCCAGTGAGTTTTCTTCCAAGTTAACACGCCCACTCTGTTCAGTCATGCCCTTAAACTAGGCGCAGGTAGAGAGAGGATCAATGGACGAAATGTTTTCTTCAATGGCGGAGTGGTTACAGCGTGGAATGCCCTGCCACTATTTTGGGATTTTAGTAAAGAAATGCGTAGCTTCGCCGCATTTATTCGGCTTACTGGGAACGTACATACAAGAGGTCTTCTGTTACGCAATAATGCTCGCTGCCCTCAACCGCTTGAGAGAAGTTCTGGTAATTCACATCAACTCGATGACTTCACTTTGCTAATTCTTTTGTTATGTGAAGAATACAGGGTTCTCAAGCTCTGAAGACTACTTTTCCTAGCACTATACTGTCTCCCGGGCGTCTGAAGAAAGTTTCTGGCAGTATTACTGGACGTTATCAGCCGTGCCTTTGTTGATGTATGGTAGACGTATTTCGCCCGAAATCGAGTGTCTAATTGCGAAGAAGCCAGCTTTACAAGTATAGCTCATCATCTCGATTGTTAGTTGAAGTAGGTCCAGGAGAGTAGAGATTCGCATGAGTGAGATAAAAAAAAGCAAAGACAGTTTTACTTTGAGAGTCCAGAGTGTGCTACATAGAGTAAACTGACACTGTGTCATATGGTAAGATACAGACAATGTATGCAGTAGTGTTCTGTTTGAGCGGCCAAACGTACAGTTGAATTGTGGAATTGTGTTATGCAAAGCAGACAAAGTTCTTCATGTCCGCTGGCGTCTTCTCCCCCTCATACGATACCTTCCATGATAGTTTCGACTAATTTTCAATTGGGAGTTTTTAGAAAAAGTGTCAAACTACAAACGAAGCGGGGAAAAAATTCCTGAAATTGAAAGTGAGACGAAAGTTCACGGAGCGCTCACCTCCAAACAATCTCCAAG